GCTGAAAATGAATGAACTGCAGCTAAAATATCATGTTCGTTTTTCGCATGTTCTCGTCCTTCTCTTGCCCAACCCCCTAATATTCTTAAGAGGGTCTCTTCTCCAGTCTTCAGAGAGTGGCCGGAGGTGGGGAGGCAGAAAAAGGTCCTCCTTTCCTTCCACTCTGCAGTTTTAATCTGAAATCTTAGGTGCAGTATGGCTCGTGCTAATGAAATTCCCTGTTGCAAAATGCGCCTAGAACGATGGGAGTTTTGAACACTGGCCCCGTCAGGTTTACCTGCAGCCACAATAAGCCTTGCAGGGCCTACCCACAGCTGGCCCCATCGGTCCTCCTCCCACCGCGTGATGTCACATGCATGCTGCCCCGCCCCCAATTGGGCAGAACCTAGCGTGTGCAAATTAGTTATATTTATATTTACACCCCATCTTTCTTTGATGGAAATCAGGGCAGACACTGACCATGCTCAGACCTGCTTGGCTTCAGCAAGGTATCTAGGTATGCCTCAGGTGCACCAACTCTAGGGGGGCGGAGGTGTTTGTCAGCCCCCTCCATATTGCTTAGTAGTCTCCTCCCAATGACGTGTGTTAAATGTTTGGAAAAAGTCAGAAGCCCGAGGCAGTATAAGTTCCTCAACTTCGTTTATTCAACATTTGTCACTGATATGAAAACAAGAACCGAACTCACAGGACTACACAATGAAAAACTGCAGCATGAACTGGCCATTGACAGTGGATAGTTGAAAGTCCATGCGCTTACTTGCAATTAGAACGTTCGTCTACCAACGCTTATACAATTGGTTAGAACGCGCCTTGTAACATAAAAAGTGTTAAACCCAATACACAACATGCCTCCTCCGGACGACGCACGCCTGTCACAAGTGTGACATCACAGGTGTACATTGGACGTGTGACGTGCCACTACCCCCCCCCAATCTTCCGCCCAAGGCGGCCCCTCCAGTATGCCTCGTGACCTATATGGTGTAATCGAAACCATTCAGGACTCGGCTACAATAGTCAAGTGACAACGTTATAAATGTGTTATAACACGGTGACACCAGATGGTGCTGTGAGCTTTAAAAGGGGTTTGTTTTTTCCTCAGAGTTTTTCAGAGCATTTTTTATAACTGTAGATCTAGCCCCAGACTATATATGCATTAAGTAAATGCTGGGAATACGGGGAGATATCAAGTGTCTCCAGCGTGCTGTGTGCATGTGTTAAAGGATGCATGAATTTATAGAATTCAGAGCATTTGTTCACAGAGGCAAATTCTTTGTCTTAGTGCAGGGGATTCTTTTTTTTTTTTAATGTATCACATAATTAATTGTTATCAATTGATTATATTAATTGATGTTATTGCTACGGTGTTTAAATTAATTCCCCTGGTTCATTAAATTAACAAATTCCCACCCTACTTGCAATTCCTAATCCAGACTTTCACACTCTCTGATCTGCATTGAACGTTAAGCTAATGCACTTGATATATTCCTATTACCGTTTGTTCAAACCACCCTTAAAAGCCACACACACACACTTCCAACTTTTTATATTTGATTTACTGTTTCAAATTCTACCATACCAATTAAAGAGAATTTACGTGCAATATATACTTTTCATCCCAGACTAATAAAACAATAAGACAGAAGCGATTATTTTAAAATCCCTTTGTTTTTTCTTATATATGTTTTTATCTTTGATCAGTTGTAGATAAAATAGCTATCTAAATAACGTGGCACAGAGCCTTGTCATTTGGATTGATAAAATTATAAAGACATTCAAATAAGATATTAATTTCTTATCCTGATGCAGTCACAGGTTGCTTTGAGAAACTCAAAATGCACCTCTGAAACAGCAAAGAAAGCCTCCAGTTTTGACTGTTCTGATTTGAAATTTTCCAGTCATCTAGCAAGATGAAATCCTCAAACTATTTACTTAGATGAATGGATATATCCCTTTCTGAAATAGTGGATATGCAAGATTTAGCCATTAAAGTGTTGGGGTAAAATTAAAATCCTCTCCAGTAGTAACTAAAGACAGAGAAAATCTTTCAAGAAAATTAAACACTTCATCAAAAAGAAGGAAGGGTTATTGTTGAGATTATAAAGATTATATAGGAGGGTTTTCTCTGTTGATAGCCACCAGCTATAAATAGAAGACCCTTAGTAAATCTGCTCAGGGAATCTTCTTTTTCTTACAAAGCTATGTCCTTTAACACAAATATACAACTACATTTCATTCAGTCAAAGTATAACATAGCTCTTTCTCTCCATCTATGGGAGGAAGGAATAAACCTTATGGGAAATGTAAATTATTATATTCTGACAGGAAAGGTAGGTTTGATACAGGAGCCGAAAAACAAACAATTAGTACATGTTACCAATAACTTCATGTATGTGTGTATCTGTGTCCTGTGATTTGTATGTCCATCTATTCTGAAAGCTCATTTCTATAGGTGGGCTTACATTTTTTTAAATTTTTGATTACCTATTGACACCATACTTTTGTGCTTTTAACTCTGAGTGGCTTTAAAAAGAAAAACAGGAATACAAATTAAATTGTATAAACCACATCACAGACCCTCCAAGTGTCCCTATTTTCCAGGGACATCCCTGATTTAGAGAAGCCATCCCGGTTTTTTTATTTGATCCTGGAATGTCCCACTATTCCTTAGGATGTCCCTATTTTCATTGGAGAAATGTTGGAGGGTATGGAGTTATCCGACCCCTGAGCTGTCTGAAGGCAACCCTGTATAGAGAAGTTTTTTTAAAATATATTTAATGTTTTATTATGTTTTTATATATGTTGGAAGCTGCCCAGAGTGGCTAGGGCAACCCAGTCAGATGTGTGGGCTATAAATAGTAAAATTATCGTTATGGAATGGGACGCCCCTATTTTATTTGGAGAAATGTCGGCGGGTATGACATTAACCTGAGCAGGCTTGTAAATGGATTTAAAAGGGCTTGGCAAGTGAGTGGCTTAGTGGTGAAGTGAATGATTTATGATAATAGAATGCAACACTGTAAGTCACCCGAATAAGTGCTGTCTTCACGTCTCCTGGTGACTTCACTAGTAATTCTTCACTAGCAATTCACTACAGTGGTACCTTGCTTCTCAAACTTAATCCGTTCCGGAAGTCCGTTCCAAAACCAAAGCATTCCAAAACCAAGGCGTGCTTTCCCATAGAAAGTAATGGAAAATGAATTAACCTGTTCCAGACTTTTAAAAACCCCTAAAACAGCAATTTAACATGAATTTTACTATCTAACGAGACCATTGCTCCATAAAATGAAAGCAATAAACAATGTACTTCAGTCACACAATCAATTAATCAATCAGTAGTTGAACTGGGTTCCACACAGTCACAAAAACGAAAAAAGAGCCACAAAAATGCAAAATAAATACAGTGGTACCTCGGGTTACATATGCTTCAGGTTACAGACTCCACTAACCCAGAAATATTACCTCTGGTTAAAAACTTTGCTTCAGGATGAGAACAGAAATCGGGTTCCGGCGGCACAGCGACAGCAGGAGCCCCCATCAGCTAAAGTGGTGCTTCAGGTTAAGAACACCTTCAGGTTAAGAACAGACCTCCGGAACGAATTAAGTTCTTAACCTGAGGTACCACTGTAGCAAAAACAGACAGACCTCAGTGTAACACTCAAAACAGAAGTGTAACACTCAAAATGGAGCATGTTCGGCTTCCGAAAAAAGTTCGCAAACCGGAACACTTACTTCCCGGTTTGCAGTGTTTGGGTTCCAAGTTGTTTGAGTACCAAGGCGTTTGAGAACCAAGGTACCACTGTAGTAACATCCTTCACTAGCAATTGTGATGGACGCTTTCCACTTCTTTGTCTATATGCTTTTTTAAAAAGGTCTATTCTGGGTGCCATTTTCCATAGCAGATAGGATGATTAATCTCTGGCTCTGTGTGGGTATTGTTATAAAACGGGGATGGGCAACCTTTGGCTCCAGAGCCACTTGATGCCATCGGCTTAATTTCATGTTAATGAGGAGAATCTGAAGGTAGAGAAGGGGAGGGGAGGAGGAAAATGAGAGGACGGGAGAGCCAAAATGGATGGAGAAATTGAAGGAGGTGGTGGGGCCAGGGGGAGAAGGAACATTTCTGTGATCAGTTTAGACCTCTGCAAAAAATAAAAATAAAATCAATGTACCGGGAAGCAAGGAATGTTGGGTGGTGAGAGAGAAGGTGATAGTCTTGCTCAGTCCTATGCAAACTCACCTGAAAATAATCCCTAGGAGGAAATTGTTTCAAGAAAACATTTTATAGTCTATATGCATCTTTGGAAAATAAATAAGGCAGGAACTTGGTTTGGACAGTGCTATGCTGGTTGGCTCACACAGATTTTTTTAATTAAAAAAATGGTCAGCCTAGAGCAAATGTGGAAGTGGTAAAGCGGTTAAACTTTTTAAGACGTTTGATGCACAAAACTGGAGTTTGGTCTCCATTACGGAGTGTTTAGCTGACCACTTCTGCATTCAGTGCGGGCTGGGAAAAGTCACAATCGAAGAAACGTCACTCTGAAAAGTTATAGGTGCAAAAGCGAGTTTATGTGAGCTGCGTGTTTCGTTGGTCATCATTATATTCCAAAATTGTTGACACCTGGCATCTGCTTAAAGGAGAGGACAGGTTGAAATGATGATGATGATGATGATAACAACAACAACAACAACAACAACAACAACAACAACAACAACAACTTATTTATACCCCGCCCATCCGGCTTGGTTTCCCCAGCCACTCTGGGCTGCCTCCAATAAAATATTAAAAATACAGTAAAAATTAGACATTAAAGACTTCCCTAAACAGAGCTGCCTTCAGATGTCTTCTAAAAGTCAGATCGCTGTTTATTTCCTTTACATTTGATAGTTCAGTTGGTTGGAGCCTGGTGCTGAAAACACCAAGGTCACAGGTTTGATCCAGCTGCATATTCCTGCATTGCCTGGGTTTGGCCTAGATCAGGCACCCCCAAACTTGGCCCTCCAGATGTTTTGGGACTACAACTCCCATCATCCCTAGCTAGCAGGACCAGTGGTCAGGGATGATGGGAGTTGTAGTCCCAGAGCATCTGGAGGGCCGAGTTTGGGGATGCCTGGACTAGATCATCCTCAGGGTCCCTTCCAGCTCTACAATTCTAAGATATACATAGAAAGCATTTTAACATTCCTATTTACAAAGCGTAGAAAAATGGAATTGAATGAACAGGGATGTTATTTCTTCCCAGTAATTTTACTACAATTGCAAAGATTTTGAAACAAAGACATAAAAAAGAATCTGCTCCTTTTGATATCTTTGTCCTTTGACAGCGAGAGTACTGTCTGATAGACTGACAGTGGTACTGTTGCACTATCAGAAAGAGCTGCGGCGCCTGGGCAAATTAAGATGCAGCAGGAGAGTCTGGAGAGAAACCCATGCTGTGTCCGGTGTATTAGGGATGACAGTATACTCTGATTATATTATATAACCAGATCATCTTTGAAATTTAGTGAATTTCAAAGCTACTTTCAGTACTGTTTGCTAAGCTAAGCTGATTATGGATCCCTACCACTTATTTGGGTTTCTGCTACTACACTCTCAAGAAGTGGAGGTTCAGAATGTAGTCTGCTGCTTTCGCTAAGGGCTTCCGTTCTTTCAAATCACAAGTTTATTGCAACTCTCAATGGCACAGATTAATGGTCAAATTAAAGTTGGCGCGAAAGCAGCACGAGACCCAGTGTGAGGCCTTTGGTTGTGATAGTTGTACCCTCATCCTGGCTTGTTTGTACAGGTTGTGGGGAGGCGAGTGTGTGCATCGAGTGGTGGTTAACGCAGCCGTGCAGGAAGGAGCCATCCTTTCCCTTCTGAAAGAGGTGGCAGTATGCCCACTCCTGGAAAAGTCCTTGCCAGTGTGGTGTAGTGGTTAAGAGCGGTGGACTCGTAATCTGGTGAACTGGGTTCGTGTTCCTGCTCCTCCACATGCAGCTGCTGGGTGACCTTGGGCTAGTCACACTTCTCTGAAGTCTCTCAGCCTCACTCACCACACAGAGGAGGAAGAGAAAGGAGAATGTTAGCTGCTTTGAGACTCCTTTGAGTAGTGATAAAGCGGGATATCAAATCCAAACTCCTCCTCCTCCTCCCCCTCTTCTTCTTCTTCTTCTTCTTCTTCTTCTTGCTGGACTCTGCGGTATTTGACAGCTACTGCCTGGTCACCAACACGCCCCAAATTATTTTATTTACTTCTTAACATCTATATACTGCTTAATTGTAAAACAAAACAAAAAATCTCAAAGCAGTTTACAAGAAAAGGAGAACAATAAAATCATCAGTAGACACAGTTCAAAACTTCTGTCTAAAACATTCAAATAACCAGTGCTTTTTTCTGGGGGGGACGGGGACGCAGGCGTATGCATACCCCTGAACATTTTATGAATCTAAGTTTGGCCTCATTGAGGGGCAGTATTTCAATATGAGTAAGAAAATGAGAGTACCCCCAAAAAAATTTTTAAAGAAAAAAAGCACTGCAAATAATGATAATATCTGTAATAAGCCGAACAAAGATTAACCACATGCAGGCATTCCACATATAAAGGCAGGCTTGTCTAAACAAAAATGTTTTTAGCACAGAAAATAGCACGGTGAAGAAGTATGGGTGCTGCTCCACTGAAAGATTGATTCCTTACAAATGATGTGGTACTTGTAACAGTGCTAGGTGCGCCTAGTGGAAATGCTGTATATAATAGTAACGCTAATATTAATGTGTGAAAGGCTGATCACTTGCCATCTGAACTCCTTTACCATATAATTGTATGACGGAAGAGGCAATGATAATGTTCATATGTATAATGGATTATAAGTGCGTTATCTGCGATTTGTTTAGGTTAGGTTACTTGAGTAATGCAAGTAGTGATTTGTACACATCGTGTAATGCAGCACCATTGATGCCAGAACTATATGAGGTGTGGACAACTTTTACCATGCCCAAAGTCATTTCAATATGTGTTGGGCTATATAGATTCGCCCATATGCGTTGTACACTGCACTGAAGTTCAAGGAAGAATAAGAGGAGGAGGAATTTGGATTTGATATCACGCCTTTCACTCCCCTTCAGGAGTCTCAAAGTGGCTAACATTCTCCTTTCCCTTCCTCTCCCACAACAAACACTCTGTGAGGTGAGTGGGGCTGAGAGACTTCAGAGAAGTGTGACTGGCCCAAGGTCACCCAGCAGCTGCATGTGGCGGAGCGGAGACGCGAACCCAGTTCCCCAGATTACGTGACTACCGCTCTTAACCACTACACCACACTGGCTCTCAAGGACATGTGGTGACATTCCCCGAGAACCCAGAATAAGCGTGTCCACAATGAAGTTTTCTTTCTGGAATGGTTTGGCATTTCACTGCCAGGAAATATTTCCAGACATACTGGAGACAGAACATCTCCACTGATCATATGACAGCCAGTGTGGATGGTCGAAAGATTTATATATGGGCCCAATTCAACGAGCTGGTTAATATTACCTTTAAATCCCTGAATGTCTTAGGACAAGGTTACCTAGAAGTCTCCCTCCTTCCATATGAACTGTATTATGATCTGCTCTGGGGATGCCTTGCCTTGTGTCTGAACAACAGATATTGGTTGATGGGAGAAACTCATTGGTAGGCAAACTAAGGCCAGGGGGCCGGATCTGGCCCAATCGCCTTCTAAATCCGGCCCGCGGATGGTCCAGGAATCAGCATGTTTTTACATGAGTAGAATGTGTCCTTTTATTTAAAATGCATCTCTGGGTTATTTGTGGGATCTGCCTGGTGTTTTTACATGAGTAGAATGTGTGCTTTTACAGTGGTACCTTGGGTTAAGAACTTAATTCGTTTCAGAGGTCTGTTCTTAACCTGAAACTGTTCTTAACCTGAGGTACCACTTTAGCTAATGGGGCCTCCCGCTGCCGCCATGCCGCCGCGGCACGATTTCTGTTTTCATCCTGAAGTAAAGTTCTTAACCCGAGGTACTATTTCTGGGTTAGCAGAGTCTGTAACCTGAAGCATCTGTAACCCGAGGTACCACTGTATTTAAAATGCATCTCTGGGTTATTTGTGGGGCATAGGAATTCGTTCATCCCCCACCCCAAAATATAGCCCAGCCCCCCACAAGGTCTGAGGGACAGTGGACCAGCCCCATGCTGAAAAGTTTGCCGACCCCTGCTCTAGAGATTATGGAATTCCCTTCCTAGGAAGGCCCAGTTGGCTTCCTCCCTGATGGTTCTTACTCTCTCGAAACGCCATTTTTCTCAGCAGGTACCCAGCCTTTGGAACTGGGGGTGCTTCATCTGCGGCTTGTATTTTTTTTAAAAATGTAAACTATTTTAATTATTTTATTGCCTTGATTGTTAGGTGGTGAAGAGTTTCATCCGCTGTTGCGCCAGCAACATTTTCTGGCGACACCCCAGGTGCGTCTTGACCCCATCGCCCCTGCTGCTGGAGATGTGAGAAGCACTGGCAGCACCCAGATCTTGTGAGAGCATCACAAGATATCACTGGAACCCAGAAGCCGCCGCTGTCCCTATTTCTCCAGTGCCATTGGACCCCTCCTGTCCCTCCCTTCAAAGTGTTGGTGCTGACCTTTAAAGCCCTAAATGGCTTTGTCCCAGTATACCTGAAGGAACATCTTCACCCCCATCGCTCAGCCCGGACACTGAGGTCCACTTCCAAAGGTCCTCTTCTGGTTTCCTCAGTGTGAGATGCGAAGTTACAGGGAACCAGGCAGAGGGGCTTCTCCGTAGTGGTGCCCTTCCTTCAGATGTTAAGGAGACAAACAACTATCTGACTTTGGGAAGACATCTGTATCGGGAGTTTTTAAATGTCTGATGTTTTATCATATTTTTACTATTCAGCTGGGAGGCGCTGTGGCAACAGCAAGATCTGTGGAACTCCCTGTCTCTGTGTGCTTCATAGGTATGCTCACACTGCAGCTCAGAAAATTGCTTCCGGCTCCTTTCGGACCATGATATCCAGCTGAAAGCGAACTTCAGGGGAATTCGGTCCTGAGCACCAAACCAGACAATTGATCCTTGAGAAGTTATGGCGTGGGGAAGACTGTGGGCCTGCCTTTTTTAAGGAAACCACCAAACTTTTTTTTTTTTTTTTTTTACAAAAACACCAAATAACCCTTGATTTTTCGATGGACTCGCCTAAAATTCAGGGCAATTTCCCCTGAACATCAATCCCGCCTTTGAAATGCGATGTCCGGGAACATCCGGAAGCATGGCAGCCCCAATGAAGGGCGAAAACTAGATGATGGCATAGTGTCAGAAGAAAGCGACGGGCCAGATTCCTTACTTCAGCTTTTTCCGTTTGCATCAACTGAGACCCAGGATATCCGCTGGTGACAACAGACCTTGTGCTCTCCCCGACGTCGATTCGGAATACCGGCGGCGTCCGGCCAAACCCGGACGGGTGGCAGCCCGAGCCAGGCCGGAAACCGGCAGCCCAGAGGAAGCAAGTTCGGGAAAGGAGGGCAAAGGCGGGCGAGGGGCGGGAAGAAGCAGCAGCAGCCTCCGCACATGCGCCTTTAGGTGGGTCGGCGTGATGCCGTCACGACGCCGCACGCAAGAGCCCCCCACCTCCCCCCGCTCCCTCCCTCGGCGTGACGCACGCCCTGGCGAGCCCGTGAGTTTTCCGTTATGATTATTATTCATTACGGGAGGTGTGGGAGGGAAGAGGGGAGGGGGGCGGTCTGGGAACGGGCGGGGAGGGCGCGCGCGGGAAGGAGGGAGGGGGGCCGGAGGGGAGGGGGAGGGGTCTCGTCTCCCTCCTGTCGCATCAGGGAACATGGCGGCTGCCTCCGGTGCGGCAAAGGGACTGCGGCCGGGCCGGGGTGAGTGGCTGGGGGAGAGGCGGCCTCGCAGGCAGGAAGATGGGCTCGTTCTTCTCCCCTCAGAGCGAAGCCTCGAACGGCGGGGGGGGGGGAGGGGGCGGGGTAAGCCGCCGCCGCCGGCCTCGTCCTCCCGCGGCTCCGACTGGGCCGGACACCGGAGAGCCGGGGCCTCCTCTGAGAAGGGTTTTCGCTCGGAGGAGGCCGCGGGCGTGGGGAGAGGAAGC